CGTCACTGTAGTCATGTGACTCGCTGACGCAACAGTAGTAATGATGTATGAAAGTCAATGAAGTTAATACAATGGTAAACTGACAAACAACGGTTTATAAACATAATAAAGCGTTTTGATTTTGGGGAACATACTAGATGTTTCGACAGACCAATTATCTTGAAACATGTAGTATGTTCCCCAAAATGAAACCACTTCCTTATGCTCCAAAATCGTTGTTTGTAAATTTACTATGACCCAATGTGTTGATATTATGGAGATAAGCCATGATAACCCAATGTGTTAACACTATGTTGGAAAGCCATGATGACCCAATGTGTTAACACTGTGTTGGGAAGCCACGATGACCCAATGTGTTGGCATTATGTAAATAATCATGATGACCCAATGTGTTAACACTATGTTGGAAAGCCATGATGACCCAGTGTGTTAATACTATGTTGGGAAGCCATGATGACCCAATGTGTTAACACTGTGTTGGGAAGCCATGATGACCCAATGTGTTAACACTGTGTTGGGAAGCCATGATGACCCAATGTGTTAACACTGTGTTGGGAAGCCATGATGACCCAATGTGTTAACACTGTGTTGGGAAGCCATGATGACCCAATGTGTTAACACTGTGTTGGGAAGCCATGATGACCTAATGTGTTAACATTAGTTAGAGTAGCAGTTGGCAACACTTTCAAGCCTCACCTATTCGTAGCTACCTTTAAACGGGTGGCAAGTTAGAAGCTTTCACTTTATATGATACTGAATATAAACAGCTTCAACACTGCAGTAACGCGAATTACAGCTATTTTAAACTTCGTCGTTTCATTGCCATTGCATTTCCTGTGGGTTGCATACGTCTGTAGTGATCAAATCAGTTAATGTTGACGCTTAAATAGTAGCGACCAGATCGCAAGGGATAAAATAGTTGTCAAAAACAGAAAGTAGAAACAGAGAACCGGGAATGTAATAAACGGTAGTAGGAAGATAACTCCTTCCTTGAAGGGACTAGTGTTAACGGTAGTGGGAAGATAACTCCTTCGTTGAAGGGACTAGTGTTAGCGGTAGTGGGAAGATTACTCCTTCCTTGAAGGGACTAGTGTTAGCGGTAGTGGGAAGATTACTCCTTCCTTGAAGGGACTAGTGTTAACGGTAGTGGAAGATTACTCCTTCCTTGAAGGGACTAGTGTTAACGGTAGTGGGAAGATTACTCCTTCCTTGAAGGGACTAGTGTTAACGGTAGTGGGAAGATTACTCCTTCCTTGAAGGGACTAGTGTTATTAAGTGTCTTCAAATGTTATCCGTATATGAAACTTAATGTGCAACACCATTATGTTACTAATCACCAACAAAAGTATAGTAAATATGAAGGTGTGAACCGACTTAAAACAGAAGCAATGGGAGTGTATGATGAAAGCTTCAACAAACGAGTTTTAAAGTTTTTGTTAATCATATTCAATGGGCCTTGAAAATAAGAGCGAAAGAATCATTTGGCAAATGAAAATTTCCGAAATTTTGCACCACTAAAACAACCAATGAGACGGCTGCTAAGAAATTTGAAACATTTACATTTTTTCGTCGCACAATAACAAGAGCTAAAAGTATTCACCAATGAACATACAGAAGAGAAATAAAATAATTGTTTTAAAGATTTCTATTCCTTGGAGGTGCTTTTCGATTATTCGGTAAAAAAAAAAGCAGGCAAAGCCCAGTTCTCATAATTCTAATCAAAGCGTTATATTTTTTCAACTACAACTTACCCAATGTTCATTAATAGACCTAAGTTCACGGTAGACGCTAATACAAAAATTTCACTTGCTTGATAATATCTCGCGCTTTACATAACGTACAGCGTATCTCTTATTACTTCGTCGAGAATACAAACTTACTACTTCAAAATTAAACTAATTAACTGAATAATTCAATCAAATAATACTTATTAATTCCGACTAAGTGTAACTTACTAACAGACAACAATCAATAATCATTTACTCTAGCCTAACTCACATTTTTTACTGATCACTGTTCAAAATTTTGGAGAAAATTCCAGACGTTAAGCTAAATCTCTCCCTGGCCAAGCAATAATATAAACATCTCAACTAAAACGGCAGTCTATCACATAATGAACAAATGCATATACTATTCGTTACCTTTAAGTAAGAGTACATACATTAATGATGTCCGTCAACTACTGGTACCATTAATGAGAACTTTGAAATAAATGAAAAGCCACTGAAGTTGATTTTCCAATGTGCCACGCAACGGGATAAATATTTTTATTGCAATTCGAGATTCTTTAAATGAATTTGGAAATGTTTCTTCAACAGTTATAGATAATGCCCTTGTTATATGCGGCAAGCACAATGGATTTAGAACTTTACTTAAGCAAAGTGGATGACTAATAGTTCACTACATTGTATACTGAGAAGCCTCGTGTGAAAAGATTCTAGTATTCAGCAATGTAATAGATGCAATAGTTCAAGTGGCAAATCTAATAACGTCAGGAAACAGGGCGTTTATTCATCGAGAATTTGTTTGTTTGTTTTGAATTTCGCGCAAAGCTACACGAGGGCTATCTGCGCTAGCCGTCCGTAATTTAGCAATGTAAGACTAGAGGGAAGGTAGCTAGTCATCACCACCCACCGCCAACTCGTGGGCTACTCTTTTACCAACGAATAGTGGAATTGACCGTCACAGTATAACGCCCCCAACGACTGAAAGGGCGAGCATGTTTGGTGGGACGGGGATTCGAACCCGCAACCCATAGATTGAGAGTCGAGATCCCTAATCACCTGGTCATGCCGGGCCCGAGAATTTGTATTTTACTTCGACGACCTGAAATGGAAAAGGAAGACTTTCTCGTTTATTTTGACCTATGCTGGTTAAGCAGAAAAAAAAATGTCTGCAGTTTATTCCCAAGTTGTGGATTTTGTTGGGGTATTTGAAGAAAAACTGATATAAGGTACATTCGCAAAAACATAATGGATCAGAAACTCCAGCTTAACTTGGTGTTTCTCTCTAATAATAATCAGCATCTAAATCAGCTCAATGTTTCAAATGTAACCGAATCTGTAACACAACTAGCTTCTCGTGTAAGAGGACTGCAGTCACAACTGTCGCCCTTGAAGTACCCAATCTGTAACATACCTAGCTTCTCGTGTAAGAGGACTGCAGTCACAACTGTCGCCCTTGAAGTACCCAATCTGTAACACTACTAGCTTCCCGTGTAAGAGGACTGCAGTCACAACTATCGCCCTTGAAGTACCCAATCTGTAACATACCTAGCTTCTCGTGTAAGAGGACTGCAGTCACAACTGTCGCCCTTGAAGTACCCAATCTGTAACA